TTTCTGTTTTGTGGGGTGGGTTTACTGTTCTAGTAGTGCTTTGATTGATTCTACTCTCGCCTGTGACTCCAGGATGTGTTATAACTAGTGGAAAATTCTGTTGGCTAGAACTCCAAGGGCTTGCAAGATCATATTTTGTTCTTACCCTTGATTATTTGTTTCTTCTCTTATTTGCTTTCCAACTTAAAATTGCCTATGTCCCTTGGAAAAGTTCCTATAAAATATGAAGCTATTGTTATCTTGTGAAAGTTTTTTTAATTTTCATTTTCATGGGAGCAAAATTGATTTCTGAAGTGGTCTTCAAAACAACTATCTCGGATCCAGTCCCCCCCCACCCCTGAAAACACATACGGTACTATGCTTCTGCGCTAACTGATACTGATTTCTTTGTTCCAAATTGTATTCTTTTGAAAATCCATGCATCTACGTCATTGGTGAAAAGAGATTTCTTGTGAACCTCGCAGCAAACCTGGATTGACTGTTATTACCATGCTTGTTATTCTAATCTTCATTCACTTCGCTCATCAACTTCTTCTAATTATTTGTTAGCCAAATGTCCTATACACAAGGAAATGGTATCTCGAAAGAATTCTGTTAAGACTTCAATAGAGTTCAGATCCTTTCACTTATATTGAAGTGGCTTGAAGATATGCTGGCGAGTCGTGGTGGTGCAAGCACTTGAGACACCGTATCTGTTCAATCTTCTGGTCCATAGCTATCTAACCTTGCCCAGCCTGAATTGATCTGAAAAACATTGCAACTTGACTTAGACCAAGTTGGGTTTATAATCAAACTAAACAACCCATTGATTGGTGAAAATTTGACCGCCCCGTTCATATCAAGAACTGTTGAGCATAAATAAATAAAACAGGTTTGATTTTTTTAATGGAAAAAGAAATGAAAAAAAATACATTTTACGAATAATTGTGAAAATCTAAGAGTTGATTTCACGACCTAGGTATTCGATTAGAGGACAGCTCAAAGTAAAATCTATATTCTAATAGCGAGGAACACATTGTCAATTATTGGCATTATCAAATCGACTACTAAACTCAATATAGGATGTGAATTATTAAAATTGTCTCTTGATAACATATACATCGTACAACTACATAAGTACTTGGAAAAAAGGTGAGATCTGTGAATAATTTTGTAATGAATTTCACATTTATATAAGATGGGAGAATATGACTTCATATGTTGATAATTTCTCATAATTATAAGAGATTTGGATCTTCCCATGCTCTAAAAAAATATGATAAAGCATGTTTGTGAAATCTAGATCATTAATTTGAAATTAATTGTTAGGATTTCTTAACAAAATAAAGCAAGTATTGATAAAAAAAAAAATTATAAGAATTGGTGTAACTAGAAATTAATATTTTGTTATAATTGAAGAAAAAAAGGAGTATAAATGACAAGAAATCTTAATTGATCAAATTTTGATTATACAACCCTTTCAATAATAATAATAATAATAAGACCATAGAAAACTCAACAAGTATAGGCAACGCACCTCTCGTAATTAACGCACGCGACGTTTGTTTTCCAAAGAAAGCTAGGACTTTCCTTGCAGCCCTTCAGTGTGTGTTGCACATTTGCACTATTTCATTAGAGTGCAATCTTTAATAACAAAAATGTCCAATTTCATCTTTAAAATTTTTAATTTTGACATCTCTAATGCCTGTAGTTTTAGATATTTATATTTTGGTTTTCAAATCTTATTTTTATCATGTTTTAATAACTATATTTTAAAAGAAAAGATAAAAAATCATTGAAAGAAAAAAGAGGATAGACAAAGATTTCAATTGGCAACATTACTATAAAAAAATCAATTTCCATGTCAATAAATTTGTTTGGGAGAGGAGAGTTTGACGAAGGTGTTTTCACCCTTTAACTATGCTAGAAAAAAATATATTATAGTCCAATAAATTTTTCTTTTATTTAGTTTATTTTTTTATTTTCAGAGTAATTAGAATGTCTTGAGGAATGAAAATGAGTTTATTGATATTTTTATTATACTTTTAAGTATTTTTAAATAAAAATATATTAAAAATATGTTTTAAGGGTCCAAGAACTTGGATTCTACTTTTTGATAACCAAAAATTATACCATTAAACATAAATCATCTACTTATTAATGATATATAGCCTATTTTTTTCTTTGAAAATACAAAGCAATCATGTTGGGCTTTTCCCTTTTAGGCCAAGCACATGGGCTTGGCCTTTAGGTCAGTAACTCCCGAGTTCTTTCTCTTTCAAGGCTCATCACCTTTTTTTCTTTCTTTTTAGATTAATTGTTTTGTTTTTATTTTTATTTTAAAATGAAATTATCCTTAAATAAGATTATTGGGATTATATTTAAAAAATAATTGGGTGATTTCATGTTTTTTAAAATAAAATTATAAATTTTTACAATAATATTAGTAATTATTTTATGAATAATTATATATGAACCTAATATACATAATTTCCAAATAAATTTCTTTATGAATATAGCTTACTTTTCATATCAAGATGATTTTTTATTTAAAAAATAACAAGATGAGTTTTTATTTAAAAAAATACTTTTGATAAAAAAATATTCATGTATCATATATTATAATTATATGAATATTATCTAATTATTGAATTATAAATTATCATTGTTCTATATAATTGTTTAACTAAAAAAGTTTATGAAGGTAATTAGTCTTATTAAATGTAAGTCATGGATCTATCCGTTTTTATAATAAAACTACATCCATCCCCTTAATTAATATACTTTATGAACATTAAGTCAAACAAAACTATTGATAAAAAAATGTTATATCATAAATGATAAAACTAAAAACAATGATTTCTTATCTCAAAAGTATAAAAAAACCAACTTCAAGGTTGTTAAAATTAAAAACATTGAGGAAAATGACATAAAAGTTGAAGTTAAAAATAATAATTATGTGCTAGAGTTTGTATAACTGTAGAAGATTGAAGATACCTCACTGTTATTGTGCAGAGCATAATGAGTTTGCCCTTGACATGTACTCGAACAAGCTAATAAATGGAAAACCAAGATTGAGTTTCGAGGATAATGAGATACGGTGTAGCAATAACAGTGTCTACCATTTATTAGCTTGTTCGAGTATCTACCATTTATTAGTCACACATACGGTGCTGACTCTGCTAAATATGTACTCATAAACAAGGCAGAATCCACCATGATCCCACTTCAACTACCAGATATTGAAAAGTCTGTCAAAATCTCACTGCTTGGCAGAGTGCATATGCTTCTTTCAAATATCACGATTTTTAGCGTCCATGGTTCTTCTTCACGTGTTGAAACAGGAACCCAGGTTTAGTCCTTGTTGCTTCAGGTGCTACTGCCAGCTTGAGCATGAAATGGGCTTACTCTTACAGCAAATGATTGATTGTCATTTGAGAATGTGGAATTGCTTCAGTTCATGTGTGTGTGAGACTCAAGAGTGAATTTATTTACGTCTATTTTTCCCATTACATTTTTCTTTTTCAAGTGAACACAAGTTCTTGGATTTGGTAAGTATGAGACAAGTTTTAGGGTTCTTGAGAAAAAAAGAACACAAGGATTCTCTTGGAATAGTATGATTCATTTGGAATTAATTTAGCAAATCAGAGTCGCTCCTCTGTTTTGTTTTTGTCTATCATTAAAAGGGTTCCAAACAAATTATTAAGGAAAATTCAAATCAAATCCTAATCAAGCATGAAATCCGTTTATTAATTGTAAAATATATGTGGCATTTAATTAATAATAACTAAAAAAAATCGGACAGGAATTTCACAAGAATAGTAATATTCACTAATTCCTTCTATAAAGAAAAACGAAAAAAAAAAACTATTGAATTCTCTTTTTTTTGGGCAGAAATCTAGGAATTCAATCATGGCCATTCTCTCCGATTACGAAGAGCCTGAACAGAACCAGCAAGCCCCAGCATCTCGTTGTCCTTCAACGTAGTACTTGATCCCTCAAACCCTCTAGGGTTATTGGAGTCTGCCCTCAACTTTTTGTCTCAGAAGTCTGATGTCCTCAAGACCGGTGTCTCTGCCCTAGTTAAGGAGTTCAAGAAAAGAATCAAGGCTGGAGAGGATTCAATCAAAGCAGAAGAGAAAAGACGTACCGACGAGAAGAAGATAGAGGAGGAGAAGAAAAGGCTACGGGTTCCAAACAAAGACAATGGTCTTGACATGGACAATTACTCATGGGCACAGACACTTCAAGAGGTTACTATTACTGTGCCTGTCCCTCCTGGAACAAACTCTAGGGACGTTGTGTGTGATATGAAGAAAAAATCTGCGAAAGTTGGACTCAAAGGTCAGCCTTCAATTCTCAAAGGAGAACTATTTGAGCCAATCAAGGTTGATGATTCTCTCTGGAATTTGGAGGACCAAAAGACTGTTTCTGTGCATTTGACGAAGTGCGATAGGATGAATTGATGGAAGTCCTTGTTCAAGGGTGGTTCTGAGATTGATATTCAAAAAGCTGAACCAGAGCCTAGCAAGCTGTCTGATTTGGATCCAGAAACAAGGTCCACTGTGGAAAAGATGATGTTTGATCAACGACAGAAGCAGTTAGGTCTCCCTACAAGCAAAGAGATCGAGAATGAAGGCCTTATGAAGCAATTCATGGCACAGCATCCAAACCATGGCAACAAGAACCCAAACACGAGCTTTTCCAACGTGAGGATGACGTAGACGGTCATCTTGGGGCTATACTGTAGAGTAATGCTTAGGGTTTAGATTGATGCTTGTGGGATTTAGTATCTGCGATCCTTAACTAGTTTCGAGTTCTATTTCCTTTTCTGAATGATGATTAGTTCTACACTGCAAGAGCGAGTCTAATTTACTTGATTAATCACTACGTGATGAATTATAATGCGGGTATCAAATTGAACAAACCTATCAATTTTATAAGTAGACCTTTACAAAGATATAACAGGATCGAGCATAAAAAGTTGACTGGAGATCGAGTTGATCATAACAAAATCAACATGCCAAACACTAAATTAACAGTAACATTAGGAATAAACATGAAGGTTCGAGACATCAATGATGTCTGATTTTATGCTGGACAGGGAGAACTTAAAGCACGCAATCTCAAAGTAGTCAGACAAGTCTACCATAAGAACCATCCATAGTAGTAAATTTTAAGTACTCGAACACAACATTGTCAATCCACAACCAGAGTAGGAATGCTCTCCTAACCACGTAGAGAAATTCTGATGGCATTTCTTGATGAAGCCATCAAAATAACTTGCAAGAAATTCCCATGCTCCTTTTAAGCATCTGCATGAAAACATACAGTATAATTAGAAATCGTCTATTTGTTTTCCATCAAGTCTTGGGTCGCCTAGGATGGGAGGTTGTGGAAAGCACATTCCAGAGGGAAACACACTCACCATTTGGGGAATGATAACTCCTCGGAGCAGAGTTAGGAGCCATTGGAATGGCCATTGATAACTGAACACCAGAAGAGCTCTTGTTAGATCTTTGATCAGTGAAATAGGAATCCATATCCCTGCATTTAGGCCACTCATCAAAGAGAGGCTGAAGGGACTGATTTTCCTGCCTCACAGATCCTGATGAACTGAACTCCCTTCCAAATAAATATTGTTGTTCTTGTTGTTTTGACGGTGCATCATCAACAGGTAGCGGCTCAAAATCCTGCAGTGTCCGTAGTTGTGGGTAGTTTTGCAAAAGAGCATCATTTCTTGATTCTGGGACAGGGCTTGCAGGGACTTGGGATGTGAGATGCCAAGTGCTGTCCACAGTAGAGTTCATCCCGAAGCTCCTTGTATTTCCCAAAGCTTCTGGTAAGAAAGTTTTCTCATCTGCTTCAAGCTTCAGTCCATGGGGAGACCTGCAATGCCAGTTTGAAAGAACATGCCCAGTTGGTTTCTTTATAAATAAATTCCATGGCCTTAGAGTATGCTTTGAAAGGATCACAGAAACCTTTTTTTCCTTTGCAACACATGATCAAACTCTCCGAGAAATCCAAGCTAATCTTTAGATATTCAAGTGCAATCAAGATCACAATGTAGTAGTACATTTAAAAAAAGAAAGGAAAAAAGATCATGATGCTGTCATCTAGTGGGGAGCAAGTCAGATGTAAGCTAAATCTCATCAGCATAGCTCCATCTATCATTAAACCATGAATATAACACTGTTATGATTTGAAAATATATGATAGTGAGATATCACTGCAGCAATCCATGATCACAATCATAGACCATAAAGTGTACATGAGCAACTGTCACCAATGATAGCTAAACTTAGTTGCACTAGCAATTGTACAAACTAGAGTGGGGAAAGGAGGGGATTTTAAGGTTTGAACCTCATTTCTTACTTGTTTCATAAAATCCCCGTTAGACAGGCTGAAAATGTGATACTATATTTTGATGTAAAAGGAACAAGAATTCTAGATAAGTATGAGCTATGTTTCTTAAAGTTGCAACAACATCCAAATTATCTGAGTATTAATCTGAAATAATAGAGGCAATCCAAAGACAAGCCATATTTTGTATGTCATTGTATGGATACTGGCTAGCAATGCAGCTAATGGGCTTTAGTTGGTTGCCAAAAATGCTTACTGCCAGCTCCAAATAAAGGATGAGAAACCAACTAAATTTGATATTTTACGAAATATTATTGATGACAACAAGACTCCTTACAAACCACAGCAAGCTAGCAACAGTGAAGAGGGATATGGGAAAGATGAACCTATTCAACATATTCCAAGTTTTCAACTTGTTATGTCAGCCTATTTTGTAAAAATGAGATATTAGGTTTCCATGGAAGTCAATGGTTAATGAAAAATGTTGGAGTGCTTTCTGAGTATGATTTCAAAACAAGTCATCAATTTCACCACTTAATCCAATACATTTAGCACTTAAACCTTCATGATTTATCAATGCAGTAATATATTGCTTACCTTAATGTGCAAGACCATCACTATAACCCTTCTTTTTACAAAGCTAATAAGTAATATGAAGTTAGTTATCAGTCTCACTGTAAGGACCAAGGTGCTCCCACCAATTCATGCAAACATATTGACAGTAGCAAATATAAACTTTAAGCACTGGAACATCATGACTCGAGCACCTTGGCTTGCTGAATGCAGCATAAGGGTTGAAAATTGCTTTATGTAATGTTTAAATGGCTTGGCTTCAGCATGTTACTCAAAAATACAGGGTGCATCAAATATCACATGTCACTCTATTGATATACCGCATCACCCATGGATGTACCGATATATAAATATAGATTGCTATCAAGCACAAATCCTTTAATACAACCTTTGCTTGACATGCAGTTTGATTAGTACAAATAACAACCACGCACCTGTAGTCTTTACTATTAACACCATAAGGCATAGACTCCATCTGCCAATGTGACATGTTGCTTCCAAAGCCTAAGGGCCCAGAATTACCAATGGTGGGTAAAGGCATAGTCGTATACACTCTGCTGCCACTGCTGCTGCTCCCAGTTACAATTTCTGACTCAACAGTTGACATGGACTGAGAAGTAGTTTGTGATTCCACAGGCTTTCTTGAACGGTTACGGCTTCTATTCATATGCCGCTCACAATACTTGGAGTCTGGATGAGCATCTTTGGAGCACCTCCACTTTTTGCCATCTGTCCTCCGGCACCTTCCTGGCTCTGAGTCAATCTTCTTCCCAAAATAGGAACAATAGCTCGCTGCAAAAGAAGACCAATACAGCATGTAACAAACACAAAATATAACCCGCAACTTTAAGATTATATGATTAACTGGATATCACCAAGACATTTGACAAGACAAGTGCACACATGCAAGCACAAGCACAAGCACACACAGGACGACTTGCAAATTAAGATAATTTCACAAGTCAGAAAACTGCACCACCCATTTCCTGTAAATTTTCCTCCGAACCATATACCTGGAGTAAAACTCAGTTACTTGAAGGCTATTTGGATGTCTCGTCGCATGCTATTTCTCACCTCATTGTCAAAGCATTTAACAGTCCAAATATAAAAAACAGATTACTGAACGTGACAAAAGGGATAGCAAAAAGAAACAAAATGCAGTTTTTAACCAGTCTCAAAATAATTGAATGAATAAGCAGTTCATTGAATTGATTAAGATAATAAAAATTTTGAGAACGAATCCATAGTTACATATGGGTTGATTAAGAGTAGAAACTACTATCACAGTGAACAGTAGAAATTATAAAAACTTAGACTGACCTTGCCAACTTTAATTTTAAACAAATACCAATCTGTTCCAATTTTAAAGACACAAACTTCAACTGAAATTAAATTAGAGATACAATTCTGATAAAGGCCCTCCTTGACATTTGATTCAGTTAAAGAGTAGCCACCGTCACACAGGGCAATAAAACTAGTCACAAATCAGATTGACATCTCCAACTTATTTTTTGCCTCGTTCATTATAAGCAAACAAGTCCTAAATTCACCAAGCTTTATAAATCTTAAAACACCAACTTTAAATGAAACTAAAGAAAAACTAACAATAACAAAGAAGAAAAGATAAATCCAAGAAAAATGAAATATAAATGAAATATAAATGAACTAAAGCCAAATGGGTTTTTGTTTTTGCAGCTTACAATTTGATGGGTGCAAGAAACCAGGGGATAGGAGCTGGAAACTCTTGCGAATAGGAAGGAGAAGATAAGGAGGGACAGATAATCCAGCTTTTAAATACTTAAAGATAAGAGCTTGATGCTCTAGCTCATGCCACTGAGCCAACGTGAAACTTGGTTGTGCCCTTGGCCCCACCGCCGCCACTGTGACTGATGAGTTGCTCATTTCTTTCAGTTTTCTCTCCAACTTCACTTGGGTATGAGTCCTGACTTCTTCTGCTACTATTTTAAGCAACCCTGTTCAACAAATATTGGAAAAAGGAAGGAAATTTCAGGGTTAGTTTCTGAGATATTACATCCTTGCATGTGTGTTACCAGGAATCAGAAAGAAAGAGGATTTATTTTATTTTATTTTTTGCTTTTACCTTGGAATTGGAGATGAGAGAAGAGGGTTTGGACATAGTTGGGGGAAAGTTAAATGTAAAAGAGAGAGAGAGCTAATAAACTTTTTGCGCTCGGTGGAGAAATGGCTTTTTATTTTAGGAATTCTGAATTTTGGACATTAATGCTTCGATGTTTGGGAAGACAACAAAAGTGGAGTACATATGCTTTTGGTACTTGGTAATTATGGTACTTGATAATTAGTTTTTGAAATATTTTTATTTAAAATATATTTTTATATTTTTAAATTTATTTAAAATAATTTAAAAATAGTATAAAGATTAATTTAAAATAAAAAATACTTAATTTTTTTCAAAATCATGATGTCAGTACCAAACAAATACATTTATGGTGTTTGAAATTATGATGCAAATATTTTTTTAAATTATTTTTTACTTTAAAATATATTAAAATTTTATATTTTATATTTTTAGTTTTAATATAGAATATTGAATTATAAAAAATATTAATTTAAATTTTAAAATAAATTCAAAATTTTAGAAAAATGCAATTCAACAACATTCTTCAACAATATTCAATGTATTTAAGTTTTATTCATTAATGTAATATTAAAATTGGTATAATTTTTTCCCCACTTGTTATAAGGATTCACTAAGAGGAATGCATAAGATTTTTTTGAGTAATACGAGGATGTTTGAATAAAAAGTAGTTTTTCTAAAAAAAAACAAACATGTTTTTATAGTTTTTAAAGGTGTGATTTATACTTAAAAAATATTATATTTTTAATAAAAAACCACCACATCTCCAAGCCAAACACACTCGTAACTAGACACTCATTGGATCCTTAGTACACTTGTACAATTTTGAGATGCACATATGAAAATGTCATGTAATTTATATACGCACTATATAATATAATACGTTATTTTATATTTAATTTTCTAAAAATTAAATTTTAAGTTTTTTTATTTTATTTTTTATAAGATTATTATATTTTTATTTAATTTTTAATTTTATTATTAAATATTAAGATAATATATTTCTATAATATTAACAAACATTTATTTTTAAAGTTGATTATTATATATTATTTTAGTTTAATTTATTTACTGTTATCACTTATTTTCTTAATCATGTTATTAAGTTAATTTTGTTTATTAAACTAACTTGATCCAATTACCCGAGTTTTTTATATTATTTTTTAAAAAAATATTAGCATTGCATCAACATTCATTCTTTGTATT